GTCAAAGGTTTTAGACAAAAAGAAGGTCTTGATTACTTTGACACGTACTCACCGGTTACTAGAATAACATCTATTAGAATGCTAATTGCCATTGCATCTTTATACAATTTAGAAATTCATCAAATGGATGTTAAAACCGCTTTCTTAAATGGTGAATTAAAAATGAATAAATTTACATGGAACAACCAGAAGGGTTTTCTGTTCCAGGGAAAGAAAAGAAAGTGTGTAAATTGGTTAAATCATTATATGGTTTAAAACAAGCGCCAAAGCAATGGCATGAGAAATTTGACAAGGCAATGATGTCAAATGGATTTAAAATTAATGAGTGTGACAAATGTGTTTATATTAAAAACACAGATAAAGGTTATGTCATTGTATGTCTTTATGTAGATGATATGCTCATCATTGGTAGTAATAATGGCATGATTAAAACTACCAAGAAAATGTTGAATAAACATTTTGACATGAAGGACATGGGCATTGCTGATATAATTCTTGGTATGCAAATTACCAAAACATCAGAAGGTTATGCTTTGTCACAATCTCATTACATTGAGAAAATATTTGACAAATTCAGCAAAGATGATGATCATCTTGCTAGAACTCCTATATATGTTAATTTGTATCTTTCTAAAAATGTACAGGAAAGTATTTTTCAATTAGAATATGCCCAAATTATTGGAAGGTTAATGTACTTGATGAACTGCACTCGCCCAGATATAGCTTATGCAGTAAGTAAATTAAGTAGATATACGAGTAATCCAGGAGTAGAACACCATAAAGCAATTATAAGGGTTCTTAGATATCTCTGATTTACTTGTAACATTGGGCTGAATTATACTAGATATCCTGCAGTACTTGAAGGATACTGTGATGCAAATTGGATATCGGATACTAGAGACTCGAAGTCCACCAGGGGTATGTCTTTACTCTTGGTGGGGCGGCTGTATCTTGGAAATCTTCCAAACAGACTTGCATAGCTAAGTCTACTATGGAATCAAAATTCATAGCTTTAGATAAAGCTGGGGAAGAAGCAGAATGGTTTCGCCACTTCCTTGAAGATATTCCAATTTGGCCAAAACCGGTGCCTGCTATATGCATACATTGTGATAGTCAATCAGCAATTGGTAGAGCACAGAGTCATATGTATAACGGTAAGTCACGACACATTCGTCGTCGACATAACACCGTGAGACAACTACTCTCTAATGGAATTATTTCCATAGAATATGTTAAGTCTAAAGACAACATAGCGGATCCACTAACCAAAGGGTTAGCAAGAGAGTTAGTTGAGAATTCATCGAGGGGAATGGGACTAAAGCCTATTTAATAAGAGTTCCCACAACGGCAACCCAACCTAGTTGACTGGAGATCCCAAGATTTAGGTTCAAAGGGACAACCGAGTTGTGATTGACTCAGAAGGATCACTGTGGAGTCCAACTCCTACCCATTTCTATGATGAAATAAGTGATGTCTGCAGCGATTTAGGTTAAGTAATACTTTTAATGATTCTTATATCTAGGTAAACCTAGTAGAGTATGGCAGGATACTCTTCATAAGAATCACCTGTGTGAGTGTGAACTGGGCCGGTTCTATAAGATTTGTGAAGGGTTACAAGTCTTTAAAGCACTCATGAAGACCAGGTTGTTCAGGGCCAAAATGAACAATAGTGAGAACTAAACTGTGTTTGAGAATATACTGTGTGAGTTCTATTGTCTTGGTTTATTCAAACGGCTAAACAGTTCAAGACATCATGTTCACTGTTTAGCTAGTAAATCCGATAGTGTCTCACAAGGGAAGGTTCAAAGCCAAAAGCTACCTATCCTTTGCAGAATATTACCAATTTCTTAACTCTTTGATTAGATCATGTTGTTGCATTTTCTCTCCGTCAAATTCCATTCATGTGGGGGATTGTTGGAAAAATGATTTAAAGACCAGGTTGTTCAGGGCCAAAATGAACACAATAGTGAGAACTAAACTGTGTCTGGGAATATACTGTGTGAGTTCTATTGTCTTAGTTTATTCAAACGGCTGAACAGTTCAAGACATCATGTTCACTGTTTAGCTAGTAAATCTGATAGTATCTCACAAGGGAAGGTTCAAAGCCAAAAGCTACCTATCCTTTGCAGAATATTACCAATTTCTTAACTCTCTGATTAGATCACGTTGTTGCATTTTCTCTCCGTCAAATTCCATTCATGTGGGAGATTGTTGGAAAAATGATTTAATATAGGCATATTTTTTTTAGCTCAAATTTGAGTGGGCCCCGAACGTCTTTTGGGGTGGGTCCGAAGAGGTGACGTGTTCCTTGCCGCGTGACAAGTCACACGATGAAGACGGAACGTCAAAAACTATTTATGAGGGAATGAGAAGTTGACGTCGTTTTCGGGTTTAACATTAATTTTTAGATAAAATTCATTTGAATTTTTTAATAAAAAATTATTGTGGAAATTTAATTTAAATTCTAAATTTTGGGTTCCTAAGTGGTTTCCTAAAATTTGTACCTCTTACTTTATTTATTAAACTATTCAATTTATTTAATATATATATATATTCAATAGTTTGATATATATATATATATTCAAAATAGTTTATATATTAAAGTTGTAACAGGTTGGGACAGTTCCACCAACGGTAAACAATTTGGAAAATTGTTTTATCTATTCAAATAGTTTATTACATTATTTCCCTACAGTTGCTTTGACTTTGTCTCCAACGGATTCTTTTTTGAATAAAGAATAAGTTGAATTCAAAACATGTGGCACCTGTTGACCATTGTTTATATCGATTCGGACTATTCAATCTGTCTCTTTGTTGCTTATATATAGATTATATTCTAGCAATTTTGAAGAGAGAGAGACATCCGAAAATTCAGTCTGTTTATTTTGCATTTGCTGTCCAAAATTTATAACATTTGCATTATTCTTCATATTAGAGTTAGAATAAAATTCAGAGAGTTAGAACACAGGTTTGATTCGCCGAACAAATTGTTTGGAGTGCTACTACAATTTGTGAAGATCATTGTATCCTGGGAGATAGACGCCACTCAACCGTAAACACCGTAGCAGGGCAAATCTGTCTTAAGGATAGAGTGTTACACACTCGACTTAGTCTTAATTTTAATTCGTTTCGATAAATAAATCTGGTATGTTATTTATTTATTTTGTTTGAATTTATTTTAAATTATTTTATTTACACAGAAGATTGTTCCAACAGAAACCAGAAGCAATTAACAACCATTTTTGAAAACCACCTTTTTTATCATCCCACCCACCAAGTTAAGCAGATAAAATAAAACAGATACTATTACTGTACCATGAGTCATGTAGTGATGACTTCCAAAAGGTAGACATTACTACATTAGTAGTGTAATATGAGGTTAGAAGTGATAATTACCAATGAAATGAAAGAATGCAAGCTAATTAATGTCATCTAATCATGATATTTATTAAAAGCAAGCTCCATTTTCAATTCAAAAGGAAGTAATAACATTCATATTTATTTCTAATTGAAACAATTTGATTTCTTTATCAATATAAAAAAACATAAGAAACAGTAAGCATTACTCACATATCCAACTCGCCATCCCATCATTCCATAAGTTTTAGAAAACGAAAAAATGTTGACTATGTGGTTGCCCTCCATGCACGAGTGTTTGAGGCCATCATACACAAAGTACCTGCACATGTAATTCTTAATACTCCTACATACCTCTGTATTCTTCCTAGGAACAAATGAAAATATAACCAAGTCATATTCTAGAAAACTGAGCAAACAGTAGAATTAATAGCAAATAACCTTTAAAGTGCAACAGAATGATAAAAGAGTACCCAACCAACAATCCATTTTTTATCCCCCTTTTCGTAAGTAACAAGTCATTTTTAGTGTTTGAACTTCTATATTTTAAATGCAAAATGCATGATGATTATTAGATATACTCTAGTTGCAAACTTTCCATTTCTTGAATAATTTATTATGTATATGATATGATGAATTGGTAGCATGAGACATAGTAACTATGCTGGATCTTCTACTTATTTTTTGGCCTGAGATCAGTGATGTCAAACCATTGTGTACATAATGACCAGGGACTACACAAAATGGCAGAGAAGCAGCATCCACAGAGAGAGAGAGAGAGAGAGAGAGAGAGAGAGAGAGAGAAGAAGAAGAAGAAGAAGAAGAAGAGGAAGAAGAAGAAGACTTTCAAACTCTACTAGAGTAAAAGCCTCAAAGGTTATGCATAGTGACATGAGATTCAGGAAAATTATTTCATTATTACAAACTTTAGCAGGGTAAAGTCTACAAAGGTTATGCATAATGGAGTTATGCATAATGGCATGAGATTTAGGAAAATTATTCCAGACAATCTATTCTAACACCACATCCATATATAGTTGTACAAAAAAATAGTAATTTTGAAGCACATCTAAAACTACTATTTTATGTTGTCCCCTTCAAAACAAAAGGATTCTTCTCTCTGCTGATATTTAAAACTATTACTGTGTCTCTTTTTTTGCTAAGGTTCTTTCCTCCCACCCCCAAAATTTTTTTCTTGCATGTCCCTTATTCTACAGTCCTCACCTCATGTTGATTTTTTTTTCTTTTTATTAATAGACAAAAAAAAAAACAAAAAAAACTTTCTAATCATTTTTACATTATAATTACTGTACGGGAAAGAAATAAATCTTCTCGTATAATCCTGTTGACGAAGTCTACTCTCCTTTGTACATCGTCGCTTTATTACCTGAAAACACAAACGTGAGCTAGCCAGCGGGTGTGTGCCGGAAACCTCTCCGATGCCTAAGTCAGTATGCGTGACAAATAGACAAAAGATCTGTGTATTCAGAAAGCAAAGTTGTGTGTTACCTTTCCAAAGGTGATATTTGTGAGCTTTTATAGGTTTCGTGTGGCACAATCCTAGTAGGACTTCTATTCCTCCATGCAGAGTCCTCCTAGGATTCATACTCCTGTAGGATAATGCTTATCCTTTAACACCCCCCTCACTGCTTAAACTAAGTGAGATGATTTTTACCATGGCCGAACTACAACATGACCGAAATAATACTGGCTATGCCGAGCCACAGAGTAAGCCGAACTAACTCTTCCTTTTACTTTCTCGTATGTCGGCTTCTCATGGGCAACACGCGGCGTGGTTAGGCCGAACTAACAAGTCGTGACCGGTATAACTCCGCGACCGGTCTAACGCAAAGGTACTGTTAGACCGATCTTACTTCGTTTTTACGTCGGACCGGACTAGCTTCGAAGTCTTAGGACCGGACTAACTTCGGAATATTCATACGACCGGAGTGACTTACGTGGCCCTTTACACTGTGGCTCATAACGGCCCATTGCCCTAGCTCGGCCCAATTTCCATATAAATTACCCTCTCAATTGCCCCTTAATTCCATCTGCGTAGCTTGATAGGGATTACCTGTCTTATAAACCGGTCTAAAGTTTTAGCCTTTCCAGCCGAGCTAATACATTAAGCCTGTAGAGCCGAGCTAGCACTAAGCCGAACTATCCCTATCCGGTCAGAACGTCGCTTCAATCATAGAAACTGAATCGCTTCCTTTTTCAGTGACACGTGGCAGGCTCCAATTGGTTGGGGGCAGCTGTCACGCCGCCCTCGTACTCTGAGAAATTTGAACAATTCCCGCCCTTCCTCTCTCTTTGCACACAACAAATCCTTTGTCTTTGAATCATTCACCTATACTATTCATCTTTTTCTCTCTCTGTGCCACTACTTCTGCTTCCACCCACTTTGTGAAGTAGTCTGTTGCTGCGAGAAAGAACTTCCTGTTGCCAGGTGCTGTTGGAAGTAGTCCTACTATGTCCAAGCCCCACATTGCGAAAGGCCATGGGCTAGTTAATGGTAGGAGTTCTCTTGCTGGTTGATGTATTTGGTGTGCGAATTTTTGGCATTTCTCACACTTCTTCACATATTTCTCTGAGTCTGCCTGCATGTATGGCCACCAGTATCCTTGTGAAATGGCCCTGCAAGCTAGCGATCTTCCTTCTTGATGGCTTCCGCACACCCCTTCGTGTATCTCGTACAAGAATACTTCCACTTTGCTGGGGTGGACACACTTTAGATAGGGTCCTGAGAACGACTTTTTGTATAATGCTAAAGATGGGGAGAGCCAAAATCGCTGTGACTTTGCTCTAATTTTGTTGGCTTCTTTCTTTTCTTTCGGTAGGACGCCATCTTTCAAGAATAGTATGATGAGATCCATCCATGAGGGGCCTAGTTCTGTGCAACATACCTCTTCTGCTTCGGGGTCCTCAATACTTGGTCTAGGTAGGTAGTCGATCAGTAGTGGATGAGGGATGGAGGTGTCTGCCATTGAGGCGAAGCCTGCTAGTTCGTCTACTCTACTAATTTCCTCCTTGCCGATTTGCTCTATTCTTACTACTTTGAATTTCTTGATCTCTGTTCTGACCAATTCTTGGTACTTGGCCATCCTATTATCCTTTGCTTCATAGTCGCCAGAAATTTGGTTTACCACCAGCTGTGAGTCGCTGTAAACCATTAATTCGGTGGCCTTCATATGGTATGCTGATTTGAGTCCTGCTAAAAGTACTTCATATTCCGCTTCGTTGTTTGATGCTGGGAAGCCAAGGTTGATTGCTTGCTCTACAACCAGGCCGTCTGGTGAGATGAGGACTATGCCAAGTCCTGCACCATGCCGGTTGGATGCCCCATCCACAAAGAGCTTCCACATCTCACCAACGAACAATTTCCAGCAAATGGAGGGGTCGGATGATGTTGTGGGGTTAAGAATGTTGCCGGTGTTTTCTTCAAGGTCCATGCTTGCTGTCTGCCCCTCGCTATCTGACTGAACCAAGTCTTTATTTTGTGGTGAGTCTTGGTTTGTTGTAGCTTGGTTTGCTTCTTCTTTGCTGTCTATAGTCTGGTCTGTCTTGGAGTCTGACTGAGTACCTTCTGCTAGGGGTTGCGCCATTTCGGCGTCAACTTCCATCCCTAGTTCGGTTGTGTCAGTTAGGTCGACTGGGCAGATATGATGACTTTCTGGAGTAAATTCTGCGACGAAGTCTGTCAAAGATTGGGCCTTTACTGCGGTTCTAGGTTGGAACTTAACGTCGAATTGTCCCAGCTCTACTGCCCACTTCAAAATTCGCCTAGAAAAGTTCGCCCTCTCAAACAAAGCTTTTAGTGGAAAAGCTGTGAGGACAACTATGGTGTGGGCGTGAAAGTAGTGTGCCAATTTCCTGGAGGCCATCATTAAGGCCAATGCAAGTTTTTCCAATGGCAAGTACCTTGTTTCGGCTCCCATCAATGTCTTGCTGATATAATAAATGGGCAGATGTTGAATTCCTTCTGCGCGGACCAACACTGCGCTAATTGCGTGCTGAGAGACTACAAGGTATAGAAAGAGTTCTTCTCCTGGTATTGGGGTGACCAACAATAGTGGAGAAGACATGTATTCTTTCAGGCTTTCCAGTGCTTGGTCGCATTCTTCGTCCCATTCGAACTTAGTTTTTAAAGCTTGAAAGAATAGTCGTAGTCTGTCTGACGACCGGTTTATGAATCGATTGAGCGCGGCCGCCATGCCGGTGAGATGTTGTACTTCTTTTACTAAGTTTGGTCTCTCCAAATCTTGAATTGCTTTGATCTGGGAGGGGTCCGCTTCAATACCCCGGTTGGTCACAAGGAAGCCCAGGAATTTGCCAGATCCTACTCCGAATGCACATTTTGATGCGTTGAGGCGCAACTTGTGCTTTTTCAGAATTTCAAACATCTCGCCTAGGTCCTTGAGATGGTCATTCTCATCCTTGCTTTTGACCACCATGTCGTCGATGTAAGCTTCCATTGTTCTGCCTAACAATGGTTCAAACATCTTGGTGACCATCCGTTGGAACGTTGCCCCTGCGTTCTTTAGGCCAAAAGGCATGACCTTGTAACAGTATAGTCCTCTTGGAGTTGTAAAGGATGTGACCTCCTGGTCTGGTTCATGCATGGCGATTTGGTGGTAGCCTCTGTATGCATCTAGAAAGCTAAGTCGGTTGTGCCCTGCCATTAGGTCTACCAGTTGATCTATCTGTGGTAGAGGAAAGCTGTCATTTGGGCACGCCTTGTTGACTGTTTTGTAGTCGACGCAGACACGCCATTTGCCATTCTTCTTTGGCACTACAACTGTGTTGGAGATCCATTTTGGGTAGTGCATTTCTCGAATTGCTCCTGCCTCCAGCAGGTTACCTACTTCTTCCGCCACTATTTCGGCATGGTGAAGTGCCGATCTGCGAGTGCGCTGAATGACTGGCCTGGCGGATGGGTGAACATTGAGTTGGTGACAGATGAAGTTTGGATCAATGCCTGGCATGTCGTAGGGTGTCCAGGCGAACACTTCGATGTTAGAGGTTAGGAATTCCAAGACCTCTAATCTCTCAGTGCTGGACAACGATGAACCGAGCAAAAAGAACTTATCCGGGTTCTTTTCATCTATTCTTATCTCTACCAAGTCCTTCACTGCTTTCTGATCAGCCGCTTTGTCGACATCTGCAAATAGCTCATTGCTCTCAGGTTCTTCCACCAAATGAACGTATCCTTTGGCAGCGCGGCTGCCATTCGCCGTGACAAAGCATTGCTTGGACATAATCTGATCTCTATAGACCTCCTCAATCACACCGGTGTCGTTGGGGAACCGCATTACTTGGTGGTAGGATGACGCCACCGATCGCATGGCATGCAGCCATGTTCTGCCCAAGATGATGTTATAAGTGGAGGGAACCTTTAATACCCAGAACTCCACTTATTTCGTCACGCTTCCTGCTCTGACTGGAAGAATTATTTTGCCGACGGGCCATTCTGGCATAGAGTTGAATCCAATTAGGGGTGATACAGCAGGCGCCAAGTCTTTGTCTTGTAACTTCAGTTCGTTTTAAAATGTTTTCGTAGTACATGATTTCACATGACTACCCTGGTCAATCAAAATCCGCTTGACGTCAAATCTTTGACTCGGAGAGTGACGACGCAGGGCATCATTGTGAGGGCAGTATATTCCGTTCTAAGTCTTTATTCGAAAAAGACATGACGTTTGTTGCCTCTGTCTTCCCCTTCTTGGTGGGCAAGGTTGGGCACTTAGCACCTCTCTTAAGTGTTCACCTTTTGATTGATCCTCTGAGCTCGCATACAACGCTCAGGTTCAAAGATCCCATGTATCACATTATAACCGCCTTGAGGTGGGGCGTCGACTGGCCATCCCGTTGGGGGTTAATTGTGATCCTAGGGGCTGGTTGCGTCCCTCCTTCAATGTAACTTATCTAAGTGTCGCTGCTGCACCCACAATTCCTCCAGGTGTTGCTTAATGGTGGGCAATTCTCAGTGCGATGTCCCCCTTTTCTTTATGGAATGTGCATCGTGATCTTTTGTGTCATAGTCCTTCTGAGCTTCTCCTAGCTTGGCTGGCCACTTGAACGAAAGGCTCATCTCTTATTTCGCTCAGAATCCGATATATTGGTTTTTTTTGAACACCGTGGTTTATGGCAGTGCGGATTCTCAACCATCTTTTATCCGGGTCTTCTCCGTTATCTCGTCTGCCACGTCCGTTTCTGTTCCTGACGATCTACTGCATTTAACCTTTGCTGAGGTTTTCTTTTCTGGTACTGCGGTCGCACCAGATTTTGCTTTGGCACGTGCGCCATCCTCTTCTACCCTGATGTGCTGATGCACTCTTCCATCAGGGCTTCCATGGTGAGGGGTGGCGTCACTGGTGATCGAGTTCCTTAGTCTGTTCCCGACTGGAAGGCCTCTTTTATACTGTGCAATGGCAAGATTGGTGGGCAGTCCCAATCTGATTGAATGTCTCCCAGTAGCGACTATTGTAGGATCTTAGGGTTCTTTATCGCCCATGTCGATGGAGAGTAGCTGGTCGATCTCCACTGGGGTTTTGGTGTTTGTTCGGACCTTGTTACGAAGGCCTCTGCCAATTGCGCCCAAGAGGCTATGCTGCCTTCTGGAAGTTTCTCTCGAACAAGTCAAGCCTAGGGCGCCAAGGCTTGATAGGAAGAGTATGCACATTAAGGCCTCGTTTCGCCTGTATACAGCCATGACTGGCGAAAGTGGCTCAAGTGTGAGTAGGGATCCGTCTTCCCTTCATATGTAGTGGAATTTCGGCTGAAGAAAGCCTGATGGTAGGGGCGCTTTTCAATTGCCGGAACAAACGGCGAAGTCTGCAGCCCTTGCCCAATGTTTTGTCCGTTGGTTCGTAGGCAGGGCCGGTATTGGCATTCCAACCTCAACGCTTCCATGCGTCGGGAGCCAACCGCTGTAAGGCAGAGACTCTGTGTGGATCCTGTGCCCTGGCATCCTCCTTGCATCGTGCTTTTTCTTCGAGACGGTTCGTAAGTCGGATGATCTGGGTAACTCCGTCTGTCTAGATCTGGTTTGGGGCCATACGTGCTTCCTTCAGTGTATGATCTTTCAGATCTCGTCCTCTCAGACCTGGAGTGACGAGTTCTAGAAGACCAGGATTGAGTATCGCTGTCTGAGCTTCTACTCTCTCCTTGCGAGGGTGTGGTATTCCTACTACGATTTTCTGAGTGGCGAGGGGGCGTCTTGTTTTTGCGGCCCCTCTCTTTCGCCACTTCTTATCTTCATCTGGCGGCTTCAACGCCTCCATGTCGGCCGCCCATCTTCCTTATTAATTCATCTTGCTCCTTCACGCGGTCTTCCAGAGTTTGATCAATCCTCCGTCTTTGCCTGTCAGGACTTTGCGAGCGAGATTGACGGGGGCTGTGAGTCCGTCTTCCCCTAGTATCTCTCCTGGGGTTATGTCGTTGGGGCTCCAAATCTACCATGGGAGGGATAGAAAGTAATCCTTCATGCCTCGTTCCCCCATCTGGGGTTTGTCCGTCGATGGCGGACTGTGGTAATTTTTCATTGTGCGCCATTGTTCTTTAAGAGGTAAAGCTTGATCAAGAGGTTTTGTCATGTCTGTTCTTCCCACAGACGGCGCCAATTGTACGGGAAAGAAATAAATCTTCTCGTATAATCCTATTGACCAAGTCTACTCTCCTCCGTACGTCGTCGCTTTATTACCTGAAAACACAAACGTGAGCTAGCCGGCGGGTGTGTGCCGGAAACTTCTCCGATGCCTAAGTCAGTATGCGTGACAAATAGACAAAAGCTCTGTGTATTCAAAAAGCAAAGTTGTGTGTTACCTCTCCAAAGGTGATGTTTGTGAGCTTTTATAGGTTTCGTGTGGCACAAAACGTGAGCTAGCCGGCGGGTGTGTGCCGGAAACTTCTCCGATGCCTAAGTCAGTATGCGTGACAAATAGACAAAAGCTCTATGTATTCAGAAAGCAAAGTTGTGTGTTACCTCTCCAGAGATAATATTTGTGAGCTTTTATAGGTTTCGTGTGGCACAATCCTAGTAGGACTTCTATTCCTCCATGCAGAGTCCTCCTAGGATTCATACTCCTGTAGGATAATGCTTATCCTTTAACACCCCCCTCACTGCTTAAACCAAGTGAGATGGTTTTTACCATGGCCGAACTACAACATGACCGAAATAATACTGGCTATGCCGAGCCACAGAGTAAGCCGAACTAACTCTTCCTTTTACTTTCTCGTACGTCGGCTTCTCATGGGCAACACGCGGCGTGGTTAGGCCGAACTAACAAGTCGTGACCGGTATAACTCCGCGACCGCTCTAACGCAAAGGTACTGTTAGACTGATCTTACTTCGTTTTTACGTCGGACCGGACTAGCTTCGAAGTCTTAGGACCGGACTAACTTCGAAATATCCATACGACCGGAGTGACTTACGTGGCCCTTTACACTGTGGCTCATAACGGCCCATTGCCCTAGCTCGGCCCAATTTCCATATAAATTACCCTCTCAATTACGAAATTTATTATTACAAGCCAATGGTATTACTTCTACATTAATTCATGCCCTGATGCCACATTGTTCAAAGCTATGATGAATTATGTTATAATAAAAGCTCAGGGGAATGAATTAGAAACCTGCACCCTTGTATCTATAACACAAACCAATAATAAGCTCCAGCACTATTGTATTTATAATATGAAATCGACAACAAGCTCTATTATGCACTCGTCCTTGATGAAATAATCACATTCACAATAGATATATACATTTCATATTTAACTAATGAATTCAACATCTTTTTGTTATTAAAAAAATTAGCAATATCATCAAACAAGGTAAAACGATTTACATTAGAAAGCAGAATAATATCAAGTGTTCAGAAATAAGAAAAAATATACTTACTCATATGTACTATCTACAACAAACCAACATCCTGCATCCCTACAGAGATCTGAAATCCTCTACTCAAAAAAAAATAAAATAAAATAAAACACCAAGTTAGGGATTCAATAAAAAATTTAAGACAAGTAGAGAAAAATAGTTTTCTCAACTCAGTTAGCAACAAGCATCAGGATGGCTCTTTTTTGTTTGTTTGTTTTGGTACGTGCTTTAGGATTGGTCCTAATTCCAATAATGAGTGTGCACGTGTATGTTTATGTATGCATTTATGTACTTATCAAAAAAAAAATGTTTACATATATGCACAGAAAGAGAAAGACAGAGACCTTGAGAAGAGGCAGTGGAATGTAAGTTCTAGATAGGTTTCCAGGATTAACGATAGTAACAAGCTTTGGGGTTGGTTTAGTTTCCCGCAAAGTCTTTTCTAGCCAGTCTGAAAAGCAAAATATCTGATAAATGAACAACAAAAAACTATGTGGTGTTTTGTTTGATATGCCCTGTACCTTAATTAAATCAAATAAAAATTATTTCTCCAATACTCTCTTACAACAGAGAGTTAAGGGCTTTAATACTTCACTATAGATACACTAGTATATCAAAAACCATTGTAAAAGATGAAAAGAGAAAAACTTTTAAAGGAGAAGATGATTAAAATAAAAAGAAAAATGAAATACAAGATATTCAAGTAATGGAAAATCACCAACCCAGTTTTCCATCAAAATTGAAAACAAATTAAATTCAAGATATTAGCATTTCATTTTTTGCTACTAGTCTTTGGGTCCACGATACTATAGTAATTAAAATGGGCATCCATAAGCATTTTAAAAGTCACCAGCCTACTCTAGCCACCACCAGATGAAACCACAGGCTTAAGGCAATTCATCAATTTAGGAAAGTGCCCAATTCTCAATATAAACATAATTTAGCAATCATAATGTTTGTTGCAGAAACACTCCCATCAAATAACAAAATTATATTTTGATACATACAATTTATGTTGTTCAACAAGAATCTGGCACAGAATACTCAAAAAGATTCCTTGAGAAATTGACAAGGAAAAAGAACTATGATATTTTTCAGGTCATGCACAATGCAAACTTCATGCCTGCATCGGGATGAAGTATCTTTGGATCACCAGGACCCACCAGAATGTTAGTAACACCTATCATCTGGAATGACATGTACGCATTGAAGTAGTATGGTGCAAACATAACTACAGAATCCCCAGTATCACACAATGTGAGAACTAAATTCACAAATGCTTGTAATCAGAATGGGTAAAAGCTTTTTTTATAATTTATGAAGGATGGATGGGTGAAAACTTCTCTGTTTTAAACTCTGAAAAACTTCATGAGATTAATATTCATCCTATACTAAGCAAACACTGAACATTTAAGTATCAAAACGGACTTTTAAATGAAGGAAAGGAAGGCCATCGCATTAGACATGTGGAACTCTTCTTTCTTTTCTTTTTTTCAATTTTTTTGGTAAGTATGGAAATCTATTTTTTAATCAAGAAAATTAACAAAAGAAAACAGAATGCAACATTACAATGTGTAAAGAAAGAATATTGCATAGTATGCAAGTATGTAAACATTTTGTGATCCTCCATACATCGTCATGCCAGATATTACCAATCGGGATAAGACTATAAACACCAAAAGGAAAACGTGGCAACCTTAGGCATATTTATCTGCTTGTTCTTAGGGAAATTATGACTCATAAACAACCAATGTGCATACGACTCAAAAGGTCACAATTTTCTGTTCTGAAGGGCAATGACCTTATTGTGAATTTAAATAAATATGGTTTCCTAAAAATTAGCAAGAAGGACACCAATAAGATAAAAATGCATATGAAAATAGTGACTACGAGAAACCAAAACAAGTGTAAAAGCCCGCACATATGCATAATGAGGCAATGACATAGCTTTATGTTGGCCTTCCCACTCCTCAACATGTTCCCACGTAAATTAAAAACCAACATTGAGAGCACAAATTGACCAGACACATTTGTTATTTTTACTAGGTCAAAATAAAAAAACAAATAGACAGCAGGCATGGTCACCTGATTTGCCCCTACAGTAACCATCACTGAAGATTTATGTAAGTTGTTTTCTTGACGCAGCTGCAAAACAAAAGAAAAATAATTTGATCATAAGAAGCCAGTAGAAAAAATAATATATATATATGTAGACACAAATTTTAAAACATGAAGTGTTTCAACACATTTCAAAATTTTATGTTACAAATGTCCACTGTTTAGTTTTTTGACTAAACAGTGTTGATTATTTGAATAGCAGGTTCTTATTTCCGATCTGTATTTCAGATCGTTAATTACACATTTTATCAGTAACCATCACTGAAGATTTATGTAAGTTGTTTTCTTGACGCAGCTGCAAAACAAAAGAAAAATAATTTGATCATAAGAAGCCAGTAGAAAAAATAATATATATATATATATATATCAGTTGCTCAGTGATACAACCAAAAACTGATATCAGATTATGTTGCAGCCTACAGACCCATATACAAGGAACTAAATTAGAATATGGTATGATAGGGATAGTCTTTTGTATATCAAACTATTTGAAGTTCAGGTTTTCTAAATGTGAGTGAAATTTTCTTTTAACAACTAGACATCTAATAAAATGCATTATTTTTAAGACTAATCATGTAAAAACAGATTTCTAGGAGATGGCCCAATTTTTTCTTTTACATTTGGTTGCCAAAATACTCTCTTTATATTTGTTTTGATTAGATATAAATATGAATGTTATTACTTCCTTTTGAATTGAAAATGGAGCTTGCTTTTAATAAATATCATGATTAGATGACATTAGTTAGCTTGCATTCTTTCATTTCATTGGTAATTATCACTTCTAACCTCACATTACACTACTAATGTAGTAATGTCTACCTTTTGGAAGTCATCACTACATGACTCATGGTGCAGTAATAGTATCTGTTTTATTTTATTTACTTAACTTGGTGGGTGGGATGATAAAAAAAGTGGTTTTCAAGAATGGTTGTTAATTGCTTCTGGTTTCTTCCTCTGCCAAAAAATAAATCAATAAATTGAAAGAAAAAAGAGGTTTTCATACTTCTCCATCACCCTATTCTTTCCAAAAAAAATTGCAAGCTATCTAGGAATCTAAATGACAGGTGTTACATTCATATCTTTTAGTTTTTACCATGCTTTGCAATACCAAGACATGTTTCTCAATATTTTGTTTGAGAAATTATATCAAGCACAACAAATACTAGACAACTACTATTCATATGTCCTACTGATATACCGTAACTGATGGTGCCAACTTAAAGTTGCAACTCATATTTCCTTTGGATTTTAATTCATTGTAGAGAGCATATTATTGATATCAAAACTAGAAGTAACCCATCAAGTTTGGTTTAGTTAGTTCATCGGGTGATTCTACAAGCACAGAGTACTGATGCATTCATCAAATATACTCACCACAAATACATTGTGTATATATTTCCCAAAAAATAAACCTTCCCAAAATCAACCTTCCAGCAAATACATTGTGTATACATTAGGTATGGTTGTGATTATATCAAATCTATAATATATACACAAGGAAAATGCTATAAGCCCCAAATTTTTACCAAATAAATGACCAAATGTCTCACATGGGTATGGGACCCACAAAAAAGTAGACCCCACACCCATGTGAGACATTTGGTCATTCATTTGGTAGAAAATTTTATATCCCTAACCCTAACATTACTCGATACAATATATTTCTATAATATATACGATACATTCTCACACTATCTCCCACCAAGAAGGCCCTTTAACATAGTTTAGGCCTACAGGACCTGTCATAAATTTGGCAATCCTGTCTATCTTCCAGTTGCCTGACTTAACTAGTACTAAAGAAAATCAGCCTTCCCAAAAGCTATTTACCATGAGTTAATTTTGAATTTTTTTTGTCAATTTTTTTTTTTTAAAACTCACTCTTCTAGAGCCAATGACTCTCAACGACTTTAACAAGTCATTTTTTTATAAGTAATTTTTCCATATTGATATATACCTAAAACACATCTTGAATAATTGAATTCCCAAGAAAATTTTCACTTGTCCAATTATAAACTACAACCATGATACAAGATATCATTAAGGAATCATCTAAGATTGAAAAAGAGTAACAGGTATACCCAAGGGAGATTCCACCATAAATCTTTTGAATGAACACACCGTGGTGAAAGGATTCTTAATAAAGAAATCACTAATGCAAAATAAATAACAAGTGAATCCAAGGAGACATCAAGCAAGTGGACATGCGGAAGAGGTGTAAGCACCAACAATAGATGAAAGTTTAGTGTTTTTGTGAATGTTTCTTGTTGTTGCAATGGTTTGTGCTTAGTGATAAGAACATTAAGCCTTTGTTTGGCATCATCTAAAATATATATATATACACACATCTAATTTTCTCACAAATCAAACACACACACAGCAACACAAATTCTTGAACTGCTTTATTCTTAATGAAAAGAGTTTCAATGAATTGATGAGCAGGGAGAAACAGACGATAGAAGGATAGAGGAGAGCAGAGGAAAGCAAAAGAAGGCTATACCTGGATGCCGGAGGGAGAACCAAAGTAACGATGTTGTTGCCGCTGCAAAAGAGACGGTGCTGCAGACGCTGTTGTTGCCGCTGCAAGAGAGACAGAACGACGACTGGGTGTGAGGGAGGGTCTGCGTGAGCAAGAGCGAGAGAAAAGAAGAGGGTTACCTAGACGTTGCTGTTACCGCTGCAAGAGAGATAAAGTGACGACTGGGTGAGAGGGATGGTGAGAGGGAGGAAGAGAGTAGTGAGATTAGGTGAGATTAGGGTAGAGTATCGAAGGGAGAGAGTAGTGAGATAAAAGAAGGGTTTTTTTTTTTTTTTTTGGATAAAACATTGCATAAATTCGGTGGAGAATTTTTAGTGAGAGAGGATTTTGGGGCGCATTTAGGAATAAATATTTGCGACGATATTAAGGCCTGTCGCGAGTGAATGAGAAAAAAAAAAAGAAGAAGAAAATTGCGATGGATTGCCAAAAGGACGTTGCAAAAAAAATAAATAAATAAATTAACCAGAAAAATTTTGCGACGTTTAACATACCGTCGCATATAACCTTACTTTTTGACACGGGCTTAGTTTTTCCGTCGCAACAAAAATAATTTCGCGACGTCATTAAGCGCCGTCGCAAAAACTCATTTTTTGCGACGACACTTAAACCGTTGCAAATAGTTTCGTGTCAAATGCCCCTTTTTCTAGTAGTGTAACACTCTGATTTCTGGTGTGGAACAAAGTGTTGTACGAAACTAAGTGTTACACTATGGTGGGAGCCACCTTTGGAGTTTGTACGAGCCACCTCTTGAGTCCGTACGTTTGTCCTGTTCTGTACCGTGGTTATGACTTTTGGTGTGGAGCAAAGTGCTATACGGAACTAAGTGCTACACTATGGTGGGAGCTACCTCTAGAGTTCGTATGAGCCATCTCTTGGGTCCATATATCTATTCTGTTCCGTTCTATACTGTGGTTATGATTATGTAGATGAGTTTCGTATTTGATCTCTGTATTATATATTTTGTATTTTAATATCAAGCTATGTTTAGCCAATAATTATCCATGGTGAATTTTGTGCCCTTGTACTCTTAGTATAATATGTCTCACTCTGCCATGTGCTTATAGTTGTTTACCACTTTCAAGTGATATGTCAGAGCCAGCGCTTGGGGTAGGCACAAAGCACTTTGTAGAGATAGTTCAGCTCTGACAAGTTAATTAAATAGAAGTTTCAATCAATATTTTGGTACCCTCACTTGAATATTATTTTCGCTCGCGTTTATTTATTTGTTTAAGAATTGGCCAGAGGTAACTTCAGTTACTGGCCATCACGATACCTAACCCTTGGGTACGGGAAGCGGGTCGTGACAATTCCTTTCCCTCCTCACAAATTCAATTTATATGTTGTGTGCATATATGAGACAAGTAAAAGAATTAAGCACATTGGTCAAATCCACTTCAATTTGTAGATATTTGTGTGTATACATATATGTATGTGATATGTATATAAAATTTTTTCACTACAAGTTGTTGCAGTGGATTCAATGGTCTGCTTAGTTGAATTCAAGTTGGATTTATGGGGGTGAGGATGACAGGGTAGAGAGAGTTGGTAGTGGGAGGTGATTTTTGGGTTAGTAGAGTGACGAGATTTGCTACTAGTTTAGAGTGGATTTTTTACTAGTTTAAAGTTATTTTGATGAGGTGGTGGTATGGAAGATGAGGTGTTTTGGTGGTGGTTGGTGGCTATGCATAGGTGGTAATGTTTGGAGGTGGTGGTTGGTGGTTGTGGATGATAATGATGGAAGAAAAAAAGAAAAAAAAATGAATTATAGAGAGAGAAGGATAAAAATACTATTTTGTCCTCAAAAGATGATCATGTGCAATACATGTGACCATTTTCCATTAAAAAAACTTAACTTCGACCCATAATTGTCTTTATTTGACACAAACAAAACTTGGAAGGCAAATATGTTTAACTTGAAACAAAAGGGATCAAAATGAACTAGAGTAAAACTATAGGGACCTTTGGCGTAATTTATCCAAAGATATAATAATAATAATAATAATGATAATAATAATAATAATAATGAAATGTCAATATAAAATGTAAAATAAAAAATTAAAAAACATATCATAAAAATATGGCTTTTATGTTGATCCCAAACAAATCCACACTCTTTATGAATTTGTTAACAATGATGATATGAGAGAGAATTCAAAAGGAATTTTATTTTAATAAAGGAATTATGATCAGTTTTGGAAATAATTAAATTGGTTGTTTTGGATCAGTTTGAAGACATAATGAGATAATGGACTGAGGTGAAAGTGAATAACTTGCAAATCGAGCCATGATTGCATGAGCGGTTATAATAGATTGTCGTTACAACAACACGTATATTTTAGGTGTAAGGGAGACATGTACCAACGCACATGTGGTTCATTAGCAGTAAAATAATAAATATATAAATATTCAATAAGGAATAGTTTTAAATAAGTAGGATTAACTTTATCACAGTGGACTATTTGGCCAGTATTGCCACTAATATCCCAACAAACTGAACAAATTCTTTCTAATTTTAGAAACTCGTAGATCTCGAACAAAACATACTATTAAGATTCACCAATAAATATAATTTCCTTCTTATTCCACAAACACATAAAGTTCTAACAGATCATACCAAGAGAGTTTACGAATAAATATAATTTCTTTTTATTTCATAAACACATAAAGCTCGAACAAATCATACAAAGAGAATTCATTAATAAATACAATTAATTCCCATAACAATCTAATCATGTTGTTAATACTTACAACTCATACCTTATCCGAACAATAAAGTCTATTATTGTTGTCAAGCAAAATTAGGGATTGTTTGGAATAATCTAAATAAGTACACATTTTTGACTTTTAACAAATAGATGTATAGAAAAATAAAGAATTGATGTGATCAAAATAAAAAATAAAAAAGTATACTTATATATTATAAGTGCCTTAGTTTTTGTCAATCTAACCTATTGTCATTGCATACTTTGAAAAAAAAGGAAAATATCAACATTTGATTTTTGTTTGATTCCAGCTTTTTTATGAAAAAAAAAATGGCATAATTAATGGTGTATATAGTAAAAAGTGTTTATTATAAAAGTCTCCAATACAATTAGGGATGTAATCGGTCCGAGGCAGTCGGTGCTTAGGTGAAATTTTCTCCTTGTGACGCCCCAAATTTTCTTTTGGAACATCATAAAATTTAAATAACAAATAACTCGCTAAATAAAAATTTTAACAACTAATTAGGAAAATTAAGATTTTCACATAGTCAAAGCTTAACAACTAATTACGAGTCCACATACAATATTATAACAACTTTATAACATTCATGATTACTAATACCAAGGATAATAAAATTTTATTTCGATAGAGTTTTGACTTTAAAATTAGCCAAGGTTCAATATTAGTAGCAGCTTCAAATTCAGCCTCAGTCCCTTTTTCGACATAATCTGGCATGAAACGCCAGGGCAACAAAAATATATGTCATGAGTTTTGCAACACAGTAAGAAAACGTAACCAACCTACCATTCTTTTTAAGAGAAAAATAATAAGATTATAAACATGAGATAACAATATAACTGTAAACATTAATTACAACCGTTAAAATAATTTCAATAATTTTAATAAATTAGGTAACACTCGGAATCTCACCGAAGAGATTTAACTTACCAGCCACCAATGGCAATGGTTGATTTGAAACCCTTCCTTGGTCAAATATTCAAGTGTTACCAACCGTAACTACCAATGATGCCCACGTCTGGAGTTATATACCCAAGTAGTGGCATCCGTGGTCTGTCCCAAGAAAACAGTCTGCTAGGGGTACGTAACCTTCCTGTGTGCCACCTACGCATCCACCCTTATTTCAAAATCGAATATCGAAAAGAGTTCAAATAAGTCTCGTGTCATCTTAGGGTTTTGCGACACAATTTACGTGAGAATTCTCAAAACTAGAGCTCACCCTGAACAACCGGAATTAATCGTCAATCCTTAATTTCGTACACCCTTTAAAATTAGGACTCACTCTAAACAACTGGTATTAACCGTCAATTATTAACTTTGTATATGCCGTTAATTATTTCAGTTAGTTTTGATATTAATCACAAATAATTCCAATTTTTAATTACAAATAATGTTATACTAACTCATTAAAATTTTAAACATAAAATATGACACATGTCACACAATAATAAATAATTGTACAAAATTTAAATAAACAATTTATTTAAACCATGATATGAAATAATAATTTAGATACAAAAAAAAAAGAAATAAATCATAATTACACATATGCATGGATTTTTAATCTACAAGATTAGACTAGCACAATATTTAATTTTTAGTACAAATAAACAATTGAAGAGATAATTTTTTGATTCCTCCTTAATCTGCCAAAATTTTCAGAATGTATATCTTGCAAATAAAATTATAAATAAATTACTTATACAACTCTAAAATTCATATAAATCTACAAAATACTCAATAAACATGTTATGGTCATTTTTCATAAAGCATTTTCCAAAAATAAATTACAAATAATTCTTAAAAATTCTAAGAAAGTTTATGACACAGATTTATCACATTTTCTTAAATTAATTCCATACTTAAATTTATAAATCAATTCCATAATATAAAAATTTATTATGAAACTAGACTTCTCAAATTTCATTTTTTGTTTATAAATTGCCAGATTTGGTTTAATATAAAATTTTTAATGATTTTTCAAACACATAGTAAAATCTGCCTATAGCTCCAGATTTGGTTAAAAATTCGTACAAATTCAATAATTGTTGCAAAAATGCATGGATGAAGTAGACATCATTCTAAACAATTTTGTAGAAGAAATAATCTCAAAATTTAGAGTATAAAAGTGTCTAAAAATTAGAACAAATATTCTGGTAGATTCAAGGGCCAAATAAAACCTTTAATCCTCTTTTTAATGGTATAAACTACACATGCAAGCTTATTTCCACAATAATACCATGACTTTAAGACTATCAATATCTTCAAATATTTGATATACACATCACAAAATTTATATACATACATAAAAAAATTTATCTATAAATTCAGTCATTTTATCATACGAATATAATCTGAAAATTTTAATAATTAAAAAAAATAAGAGGGTTGAAAGGGTTTTCTTACTTAGTTGTAGGGTTGAAACGGATAGTGAAATGGTAGGAAAATATGCAACCTTCTTAACCTCCTCTTCTTGTTAACTTACTTCACTTCGCAGAGATTTTTTTTTGCTTCTCAAATCTCCTTTGCCTTCTCTAATCAAAGAGTAGTATGC